TTTTTTTTTTTTTTTTTTTTTTTTTAGATCAGGCAGTCTGTGAGTGAAGGCAGAGCTCAAAGTGGATGCAACCTCGAGGACTAAATCTGGAGATCGCTCATAATCCTGCTTCTGTTTTAATCCTCCTTTTTTGTGTGTTTTTATTGGCTTTAATTTTTAAATCTAAAAAAAAAAATTAGTTCTGGTTAGTAAATCCAGTTTTCTGGGATGATTTCAGCCATTTCCAGCCCGTGGCTGACGCAGCTGTCCCATTTTTGCGATGTTGCAGCCTTCACGACGAGCAGCCTGAGCAGCCTGAACGCGCCGGGGGGCTACCACCTCTCCCCGTCCCCCGGGGACCCCTACAGCCAGCAGCACGAGGCCCACTTCGAGCCATGCCCGGCCGCGCAGCACAACTACACCTACCCGGGCTCGAACCCGGGCCAGGGCCAGGCGCAGCCGAGCGACGCGGGGACTCCCAACTGCTCCTCGTCGTCCTCGAGCTCCACGCCGAACGGCAAAAACATGGTGAAGAAAAACCCCAAAGTGGCCAACATCAACGTGCAGCTGGAGATGAAGGCTCTGTGGGACGAGTTCAACCAGCTGGGCACCGAGATGATCGTCACCAAGGCCGGCAGGTGAGCGCGCAGGACGCACGGAGCGTGGACCAGACGGTTTGATCACAACAAACCAACAGAATTTAAGACTAAAATAAAATAAAAGAAAATAAGAAAAGAGGAATTATTTAGAAAAAAGTTTATATATCAATTTCTTTAGATACATTTCATGTTTTTTAGATGAAAATTATATATTAAACGACTTTAAACAGACCAAAATAGAACCAGTTTTATAAAACATCTCAGTTCATTTTATGAAACAATTTAAGTTGTATTTTATTAACATGTTCGAGTTTATTTGCAAAACTCTGCAGATCGGATTTTTTTTTAATTTGTTTGTTTGTTTTGTTTGTTTTGGGGTGGCTGAATTTCTAAAACAATCCGTCTGATTATTTTTAGCTTTATTGAAAATTTTACATATATATAAAACAATAAAATAATAGTTTTTCGCCGCCCTGTTGCTGTGATGTGTGTCAGCAACACATTTAATAAAAAGTAAAGCTGCTGTTTTACGCGCCGCTGCTCAGACAATGGTAAATGGTTAATGGTAAATGGTTAATGTTAAATGGTAAATGGTAAATGGCTGATGGTAAATGTTAAATGGTAAATGGTTAATGTTAAATGGTAAATGGTAAATGGCTGATGGTAAATGTTAAATGGTAAATGGTTAATGTTAAATGGTTAATGGTAAATGGTTGTTGATAAATGTTAAATGGTAAATGGTAAATGTTAAATGGTAAATGGTAAATGTTAAATGGTAAATGGTAAATGTTAAATGGTAAATG